GATCTCCTCATCAGAAAAGTCAAATTTGTGGACAATAATAGAATTCACATAGTTATTAGAAAGCAGGTAGTCTGAAAAAATAAGAGATATGACACAGGTTAATCAAAAGAGAAAAAAATCATTATGCTAATTAGCTGTATTTAAAGTACCAGCTAGCAGCAAACTATCTGATGCCTGAAGAACCCAATTTTTAGCCAAACTCCTTAAGTGACAAATTCAAGCAGTAATATGAGAAGAACAGGAGTCAACTGAGAACAGAATATACTTGCACTTACGTTTCCTCAATTTAAGCATGCTTTATGGTACTTTGTTTTGTGGCTAACAAATTAAACCCTTAAAACAGCACAAACAAATAACATGCGCAAAAAGCTCCCTTTTCTCCTCTCAAAGTACTATACTCTCATAGGCTTGTGTATAATTTTCTCTTATTGATAGTCTCAGAGTACACCTTCAACTGATCATTAATTTTCTGTCTTCTTTCCACGTTTCTTAAAACCTTGAAGTAAACACAACTTTTCAACTGAATGCCAGCCCCAGTGATGTCAGAACAGTTACAGTAGGAATTAGATGACAGACTTCCACTGCATAATCTGCAGTAGCCAAGCAAACGTTTCAGGTCACAACTAACTGCTGAGTTAAAGAACCCCTTGAAATGTGTGAAATGAGTGTTTCAAGAGTATCAAACAATTAACTTTTGTACTACTGAAAATTTATATTAAAAGATATTTTGGAGCAAATTACACTATATTTGCAGCAGTGTTTAATTAAAAAGATTTAGAAATTTAAAGAGAGGGGCACCAGCATTAAAGTTCATGAAATTAAAAAGATTTAAATCAAATCTTGTTCATTTAATCCTAAATAGTTTAAAAAATGTGCCCTTACACAGTGATGTTTCATGACTGATGTTTTCAAAAAGGATGTTCAAGGTCTGCAGCAGCTGTACACATACATAGCGACCAGACTTCTGACGCAGGATGTTCAAAAAGAAAACAAACATATTCTTCTCCAAGAAAAAGCTAGAATACAGTAAAGAGGTGTCAGTAATTTACTTGCTATATTTAACAAGAACATGATTTTACTAGGATCAAGGATGATTCTAGGAAAGATTCACAAGTTGCTTATTTACAAGGAAGTATTCTGCAAAGTTTTATCCGTATAACATAAGAACATCTTTCAAAAGCCCTTAAAAGTAACTAGGGCACTTTAGAAACATTCAAATTATGTGGTAAAGGGATATAAAGACATCAGAGCTATTTAAACTTCCTTTTTTTAAGTTTTAATGCATCCAATTTATCAGGCAGATTCCCTACCTTGCAATCACAAGTTGACAATTTTGAAGGGAGAGCTTTTAAACGAAGGTTAGATTTTACTTAACTTTCACTTGCTCCTAAACTAACAGGCTATTTATCTCCAACACTGTTCAGCTGATTTTTTTTTGTTGGCGCTGTAAAGGCTCTTCTATAGCGGATTCAGCAACTCTCAGTTTCTGCTATCACCTTCAAGCTCAATTCTCAATTACCTATGTGTAAGACCATGTTAGAGTACTGCAAATTCTTATTAAATATGCAATTAAAAAGGAAGTAAACTCAAAGCATAAACTAGAAGAACGTCCACAAGGAGCTGAGCAAAAAAAAGAAGGCTACATATCAGAAGCAGGCATCTTAAAAGCGTGATTTGTGCACAATTCAAAGAGAAGTGATTGCCTGCAGCATTTTTAAACCAGCAATGAACATAGTTTAAAAAAACTCTAAAGGACTTTTTCCTATCAGGACCTCATAAATACAAATTTATGATAAAAATATTTCTGCATAAACTGCACAGAAACAAAACTGTACAGCCCTGAAATTCTTCCAAGCAGAGACTGTAGTGAGGAATGTGATGGAGCTATAGTACAGATATGAACAATCAGAACTGTACAAGCTTTCTTTCTTAGTTCACATCATAACCCAGTCACATTAAACTCACCTTGTAAAAATAAAACTAATCATCCCCTGAAAAAGGAACATTAAAAGTAATTAAAAACACCAAACAAACTAGCTTTCATCATTTCAGTCACAAATTCCCTTCATAAAAGACTAAGTATTTTCAAGTAAATAATTTCATAGACAGTCAAGCTATGGGTATTAATAGTCAGATTTGCAACTCTGAATATTCAGTTTATTTCTTTAAGTTTATTTTTCTATCACATTATTTTACAAGGACAAAAATACCAACTAAACAAAATTTCTAAATATCATAGCTAGAATAAGATACTCATTTAGAGTATCTTATATAAATTAAAGTGAGCAAATGAAAGTCATATGATATTAATAGATGTACTGAGTAAAACCAGACCCTAAAATAGGTTAATTTTGTATTTTACTATGTAAAAGATTTTAGGGACAAACAAAAACAGTACTTGGAAAAAAGGCCTCTGGACTTTGAATACTATTTTTTTTTAAATTAATAGAATATATTGGTTATTTTAGAACCAAATTCTCTGTTTCTTTATAAGAAAAGAATTTGATCCTGCTTAGCTTTCTGCTACAGGATATAACCCTTCTATCAATATTCATGAAAGGCAGTCTTAGAAGAGTTCGCCTCTTGCAATTAGATCTCTATGCAACTCCAAGCAATTTTGAATCTGGATTTTGTTTTTGAAGAACGATTAAAATTACTTACTCAAATACTGAACTGTCATTCTGATCTCCCCATATAAGGATCTCTGTTATAGAACGAATAGTCTCCACCAGTAGATTGCGGTTGTGATCTGTTACTGTCGTGTTTTTGGTCAAAACATGATACATGTACCTAAAAGAAAAATTAATTGCAATTAATATGCCATCCTGTGACTTTCACACACATACCATGTTTGTCTGTAGTCACTGTAACTTAATTTAGATACACATACACACTATTTCTAATCATTGTATGATTTTAAAACTCTAAAATTTCCTTTGAGTACTGACGCAGAGGGAAAAGTAATTGTTAAACAGAATATGTGACAAATAAATCCGTAACTACCCAGACTATTTATGAATGCTTATGCACATATATTAACAGGAGAAATCACATAAAACTTGTCCCGTGTGCTTGTTATGGCAACTTGGTGAAATTTATTTGTGAGTACTTTGAAGTCCAGTAGCTGACAGAGAAAAGAGTAAGTCCAGAAAAACGCATGTGTAGATCTAGCTAGAAAACTGCCTTCTATTATCTGCAGTGACACTTGTCAGAACATATGTTAATTTAATGGTTATCGATATGGACTATCGAAGACTATTTCACTCATCTTGACAAAGCTTCATCTTCAAGTCTTTGACCATTCAAACATAGAAATACCGCTCTGAAAGGTGGCAAAGTCCAGCTCTACTGTCTCAAAGTTTAAGACTGTCTAGTGAAGTTAGAGAAACGTGTGTCTATAAAAACAGGTTACAGGAACCTAAACAAAATTCGAAAAGCTTGCATTACAGATCTCAGAATTTTACTTAGTCAAAAGTGCATTTTCTGTTTTTCTTCTGTTTTCAAAATAATATATTATGTCAAAGACTATTTCCCTTTGTCTTAAGAAAGTGGGGGAAAGATTTTAAGAAAAGCATGAGAAGATACTCAGAATCACTCCTCTCATCTGTGGCTTTTGCTTTTAGGAAGTAATAAAGAAAAAGGAAGAATGTAAGGAAGTGGCACAATTATTATGAAAGAACAAAATTTAAATTACTACATATTTAGAGAATTTTCACATAATTTTAAGACTGCAAAAAGTTCAGCTTACTAAACACCTGCAAGTTCTGGCTATGGGGCAGTCTATCGTTGTTTTGGGTGCTGCAGAAGTTTGTCCAATGATTACAGGTTGAGACTTTAGCAAACCATTAGTATAGGAGTGTAAAACACAGGAGTTTAAGAGTTAAGGATGCCCATTTTTAAGGAAAGCCACAGACCCAATGACCTCCAGTGGCTGGGGAGCAAAAGATAAAAAAATATAGATTTTGCCAAGCTACCATACAGTTCCAGGAAATATTGTGCATTTCTAAAACAAAATTTTGGGAGTCTCTGGTTGCAATAAGTTTCAGAAATGTGTCAAAACCAGACTTGAAATCACATTTCAAAAACCAGTATTTCCCATCAATTTAATCTACTTAATCACCGCACAGGGGAAACATGCAGCTGGACATTAGAACGCCACTTAACTGAATACCTGTATAAGACTGTTCCAACTATTTATCAGGCTTCGGAAGAAACAAAAGAAGATATCATCTAGCTTTAGAACCTTTTTCATGTTTTAATTCAATGAAGAAAAGTTTAACCATACTTCCAGTTCCCTTAAAATTTACAACTGGTTTTAGGAATCTTCTTCAACCCCGACAGAGTTGCCTCTCAGTTGGCCAGAACTTCACATGACTTGCTACAAGACACAGACCATCCTCACAGGCCATGCAGGAAACAGGAGCTATTCCATAAAAGTTTATTATAATCTTGTGGTAAGATGTTATATGTCTGCCAATTATGACCGTGCTTAATCATTGAACAAGGGCTTACTGTGTTAGGTACTGCATAAACACATTGGAAGCTAAACGAGCAACTCTGAAAAGTTTACAGTTTTAACAAATTGATATACCACATGGTTCTTTCCCTCCCCCAAAATCAGCAATGTGATAAAGAATAAATCATATTAAGGCTAGCTGAGCAGAGGGAGGAGGAAGAGAAAAGGAAAAGATGGCAGGAAGGGGAAAAGATAGGTCTTTCATACTCTTCCTGTTCAGTAAAAAATTCTCTGTCTCTCTCTCCCTCTCTCCACTGTTTTTCCTCACAGATCAATACCTGTTTCCCAAATCCAGATCTGGAACTGCTCAGGTTGAAACCAGTCATGGGAAAAGATGATTCATAGCTACCTCCTACAGTCATATCTGCCTAGTCACGTGCTGGTTCACAACAGAAGTAACTCGACAACAAGACAAGCTTATGCGCAGATCCTCTTCAGTTAATCCAAGTATCACAGTTCAAAATTCCTTCTGTGGAGACAGACAGTACGATGGTTCACAGAGAAGATGGAGCAGTGTGTAAGTTTGACCACCTGTTAGAATTCCTGAGGCTTTCTAATAAGCACATGGTACACAGGTCCTGCAAAAACTTCCTGTTATGGTACTATACCTGTTATCAGGACAATGAGTCAAGTCATTGCTCTGTGTGCACGTCAGTTAATAGAACAATGAACAGTTGAAGTCTGAAGGCAATTACATCAGAAGAGTTCATTCTGCAATAATCTACTTAGTAACTATTTGTTGAGAGAGAGAGTTAGTTTAGTTTTAAAAGGATAATTAATGGTACACTGCCTAACATATTTTAGCCTATTTATTTGAAGCGATATGTTTATAGATATGATAATTTAGATATATTTATAATTAGTAACATTACATAAACTTGGGAACAAGGTTTACTCCAACTACAGAATTCTGATAAGTAAAAACAATGGAAAGAATTATATGCTATTATCTCAGTTAAAGAGTCACTGCAATGTAGGGCGTTACAAACATTTCTGACAAAGCAAGGAAAATTTAATAACCATAAATACATTCTTAAGTCCAAATTTATTTGCTGGATATCAGTATCACAGCAAAGTTTCCTGACTTGCAAACACACCAATGCACTAAGAGAAAATACAGGCTTTACTTTTAAGCTGCTCCTTTATCCATTTACTTGAAAATAGATGAAAAAGCATGCACGAACTTGTTTCCCTTACCAGATAGGTCATTTAACATCCTGTATCGTGAGACTAGAAAGTATTGCACAAAACTGGTATTTTTATATTTACACAAATTCTTTAAAAAAAAAAAAACTATCTTAGCATGCTGATTATAAAGGATAAAAGTTTGTGCTCCAAAACACTAAACCCTGACAAAGAAGAGACTCATCTCTATCCCTCTACATCCGAAAGCTTCAAGTTCAAACAAAAAAAACAAACAGAAAAACCCACCATACAGGAAATATCAAAGCACCTGATGATACCACTGACATCAGTGGGAGATTTTGCCAACAACTTCACAAGACAGAAAGTTCTGAATATTTTCTGGTAAGAAACCATGCTCATCACAGTACCATATTACAATTACTCATGAATACATAAATTGTGCAATTATTTTTCTACTTCTTACAAAAAGCACATTAAAACAGATAACAGTTTAGGAAGTCGAGCACTCGGGAAACACTATACTAGAGAATTTAACTATAATATACTTGCTGCTTCATGCTGCCTATAAATACATAATTAAGGTCCTTGTAGAGGAAACTCAATGCACAGCATGGTCAGTAGTTCAGGAAATGAATCAGGTATGAAACAAGAATCTTTAGTCATACTTACTTACGGACACTATGTGACCAGGTCATGAGAAATGTTTAGCAAGCAACTATAATGGCATGTATCCTGCACATAAAAGGATTTAATTAAAATACCAAGCATTGAGATAATAATGAGAAACATTTAAAAGTAAAAACAGGTCTAGATAAAAAACCTCTTTACAAACAGGTTGGAAAAGTAGGAAAAACGTTATTTGTACCTAGAAACAGAGATACCAAGCTCAAATTCCAGATAAGGCTGCTCAACCTTTCACATTAGCAGGAAAACCAAGGTTATAATCAGAAGATAGCTTCAGAAATGGCCAAGTTGGTTCAAGATACTACCACTGAATTACTGGAATAAATCACATAAATTCTCTTTATCCATTCCACTGTGAAGCTAACCAGCTTAAATTACAGTTTGTAGACTGAGAGGGGAGGAAGATCAACTAGATCTGGCTACGCATCTACTGAGGTTAGACTATCCTCAACTGGCAATAAGAACTTTCTTGATATTTTAGCCACAGGTCACAACTCCTAAGGTGAGGAGCTGCAGAAACAGATTACAGTGACTACTGCAGCAGCCAGAGATAACAGTAAGAAACCCTAACCTATACAAGAGTGGCTGCCTTTCATGCAAAAGTAGGCAAGAACCATACCTGAAGAAGTCACACAAACAAGAGAAAGAAGAAAATGAAGCTAGTGAGGAAGCAATAACTTCAGGCTTGCATAGCCGAAAAGACTGTTGCCTCAAACAGCCATGGTGCATTCATTTTTAGGATTGAAAGCACGTACAGAACAGAGGGATAGAGAAACAGTGCATAAAGGGAAAAGATAATTTCATTTTAAACTGCTAGATGCCACCTTTAAGAAGTGGGTTCTGACCCTGTCTCAGAGACACAATTCTCATATAAAGGTAAAGAAGTTATTTGAGATCATTTTCATAGGCAGCCACTACTACTGTTCTTGTTTCCAGAACGCTTAGCCTTTTTGCATTTACTAAGTATTGATATTCCCACAATTATTAACCAAAGGGCATGAAAAGGCCAAGTTCTCTGAAAAATACTAGTGACAAGCAGCCAGGAAGTGCATAGTACCATATCATAACCTCTCCAGATCTCAGTTCCACAAGGTATTAGATAACTAGATTAAATTGTGCCTAACTGTTTCCACTAGACCACAACGTCACACCAAAACACTTAACATACAATATCACAATTTTCCTTTAGTCAATCCATTCCACAGCACATTTGTTCAAAGACTGAATAAGCAAAATTTCAAAAGCAAGCCTTGAAGAAACTGTATTAAGGCTGACAGGAAGGAAGTTCCAGATCCAACATCTGCTGACTAAAAGCAATAATTCTCTCAGTTCTACTGAACCCAGCTGTATTGTTTACAGTTTAGATTAAACCCGACATTTATGCATGTTTAAAAAAAAAAAAAAAGTATTTCCATAAGGATTGCCCAGGTTAATTTCATTCTGGTAACATAGCATAACATAATTTCAATAGGATAAGCTAATTGGTAACAGCAAGGTTGGTGTGTTCTACTCAACACATGCACAAGAAACTCAGCATTGTTTTTTGATAGAGTTGAAAAAAAATAATGCAGACAACTCAAAAGAAGGTGAACTTATCAAGATAGGCTTTCCTCCATGTTCCTGAAATGAAGAACCTTTGCTCTTTTTCATTCTGTTACTTTACTCACTTCAACCGTTATCTTAGAAAAGCCCTAAATTTCACTTTACTGCTGGGTAACTGCTTTTGCTATTGACATTTAGCTAGCAACTGTAATTCGCACAGTCCGCTAAACAAACACTTGGAATATACAGAGTCTGAACAGATCAAAGGTATCGGTTCTTTTACAGTAATGTCATTTTAGATTTCACAGTTAAAGATATTACACATACACACACAAAATCCAACAAAGCTAGTATTCTAGAAGAGAATTATATGCTTCAGCTCTTAGATAAGAGGCACAAACCACAATACTTCTTCTAGACTAAGTCCCTTCTGCTGCAAACCAAACAGGATATTACTTGTTCTACCATCCATAGCCACAAGAGAACATACAATCACATTTTTCTTGCCTAAAAGATTCTAACATGCTGAAAGTGTCCCTCTCATCAGCCTCTTTTCTCTAAAATTGAATTCAATTTCTTCAAATTTCATCAAGCATCGGCATTCTTGCTCTCTCTTTCTCTGCAATTGAATTTGTTTCTCTCCGTATCAAAACCAGATAGGTGTTCTATCTAAATGTCCACTAGTACTAAGTAGCTCAGAATAACTGCCTTCTGTATGTTAAATACAACATTCCTATGTTTCTATCTGAGGGTAACTTTTTTTCCCCCTTTCCCTCTCTTCCCTTTCCTTCCCCAGCAATGCCTGATGATGTTGACTTACTCAGTCTGACCTACCATGCTTTCAAAATTACTTTCTGCAGTACAGTTACATTCCATTTTGTATTTATGCACTCAATTTCTCTTTCTTTGGTAAAGAGTCACACACTTTAAATTTAATCTTGCTGGTTTTCAACATTTCTCCGGTTTAGAGATAAGGACTAGAATACATAGATCACCTTGAAAAAAGCACTTGTAAGATTCAAATCTTATACAAGTGCATCCTACTCATTACTGCCAGAGCCCATTCAAATTCTCCTTGTAATTTGACTAATCATTGAAAACTACCAACTATATATTTCTCAATAAGTTTTGTATTCACAGTGATTTCATTTAGAAAGTGCTTTCCTTGTTAATGCTCTCCTTTTCTTGTGATAAAGATTACTGCTACTGGCATTGCATTGCTGATCATACATCACTTATTATTATTGCAGATAAAAAATAATTTGAGGGAGGAGAGGGGGCACCTCAAGCTGTTAATTCACTGAGTTATCCACTGAGGTCACCAAGAACTGAATCATGAAGAAAGGGCATTGTCACCTGTTCAGAATAGGATTAAGAGCATCACCTTTTTCACATATTGCCCCAAATGAATTTTATTTTCATGCTGTTGAGCAAAATTGTCCATTTTGTTGCAAAGTATTCAGATTTCTCTACAGCTAAGTCTGAAGACAATTACTATACAACATTTGGCTTTTACAGGCAGACTGGGAAGGAAAGAAGGAACAGTATAAAACAGTAATACAGCAAGAATATTTAACAGTGACAAACACTCCAGCTTCTTCAGCTTCATATTTAGAGAAAATTACAGCTATTATTTTAAAAGCTACCCTAAGCATAACTGTCAAAAACATAAGTGTTAACTGCTAAAAACACAGATTTTTTTTTTTAAATTAGAACTTAAAAAAGATGAAAAACGTGTTGTTCCCACATGCAACAGTGAATGAATGAATAATATGCTTATATTAGGATTCATTCATTACTGATATTCACCTAAGCTAAACAAAACCCAACAGATCACTACAATTTTTTAATTTAAAACAAAAGCAGTTTTAGGACAACAGATACAGCTCCCTTAATTTGCTTTGGGACCAGATTCTGACATTAGCAAGATGCTTAAAAAGCTGAGCCTGGGAACCCAAAAACATTATCACGGCTATCCACAACAGTCAGAAAATTAAGAGAAGGCAGCTAGAGACATGAAACCTGCACACACATTCAAGTAACAGACCAGGATCATATCTGGTCTTTCCCAAAGGAAAACGAAAATAGGTCCATTTAGATCAATCTGCAGGCTTTAAACCAGGAGGAAGTCTGTGACAATTGTCCATCCACTCACACCATCCAAATCTGAACCCTGATACACAATCGGGGAAAGCCTCAATTTCTAATATGCTGCTCCAGATCTATTTAGGAGCTGCCCATTCAAGTTCGAATGCAAGTTTTAAAGTCACTCTTCGTAGTTTGAATACCACTGCACCTATGGAGGATGAGAAAAAAAGGCCTTAGACTAAAGTAAAGAGGAACCCCAGGTATCATGCTTTTATGAAATGATAGCTATACTAATTGGGAGAATCAACGCAGAGATATGCGGATCAAGAAGAACTGATATCTCACTTAAAAGATCATTAACATTACTCTTGAAAAATTAATTCGCCTATTCATAACGGGAATACAAGTTACTCTAGGAAGCAAGAAGATAAGGCAATTAATTTCTGCAATACTTCAGCTGCCATTAAAAGGGGGACAATATTTCATGCAGTGGATATGAACTGAATATCAACGAATATGGTACTTCTCACTCTACCAGAAGTAATGCAATGACAATTTTCAGTTCCTTAAACTAACTTCCCTAAAATAGGATGGCATCTTTCACTTCGGAATGACAAAACTCAGGAAAAAAAAAATTAATTATGACCAGGTCCAGCACCACAGTTATTCAGTAATGAGAGAAGCTCTCTAAGAAGAGACCTCCTTGATTTTCTTGCAGTAATCAGAACTCTTAGAATGAAACAGAGAACTTAGGAGTTTTTATCCCTTGTCTTCTCTCCAACTGTCCCGTGGCAGAGCTAGAAAAAGTTACTCCATTCCTTCTGCAGTTAGCAATAACGCACGGATATCAGACTGCGGAGACTACCACTACAACTCCCAACCTCAATAGCTTTATTTTCGTGCCAGCTGCTGAGCCTTCTACTCAGGATACATCCCTGGACCTGCAGACCACCTCCCTGACTGTTGTGAATCACTGCTGACTACTAAGATCTTTTTCCTTTTCAAAAGCTCTGTACTGTTCACAGCCCAGGACCAGGTTCCTTGCTTCTTGGCCACTACCAGGAAACAATAAAAGTTCTCTCTCAACAGGAATGTAATATTTCTCGTATGCAACACCTCTTACGCTCTACTCTACAGGGTGAGTCTGTAACATAATCAGAAATAAAAAACACGTATCACAGCCGTGAGTGTGACATTGCATCATGGAACTGAGTCTGTCCTGAAGATATTTGGGGACAAAGAGACAAAAGCGCTATCAAAATCGGGATTCATTTCACTGAGAAGGAGAAAGAAACAAAACCACGCTAGATGGAAGACCTCCGTCGCTGCTCGAGAACTGCTCCAGGAGCCTTTGGCTCAGGAAAGCTGCAAAACGCGTAAACCGGGGAGGGACCGGGAAGCCTCCCCCGCCCCGCACGCCTCTGAGCCTCCGCGGCCGCCTCCGAGCCGCCCGAGGCGGAGCCC